AAGCCTTGCATCACAAACAAACAAGCGATGTAGTGGCCGGACAGGCTTTCTGGCAGGCGGCAGAGGCCCATTGTCGGACATGAAAGCTCAAACTATGTCCTCCGCGGGCGACGACTTCTCATTTCACGCCGCATGACACACACTATTCTACAGCCGTTGTCACTTCGAGCGCTCACATTTAAATAATCTGAATTATTTATGTGCGTATCGCTTTCAAAGCCGACGATTCAGGCCGCACACAATGCGTCCGTACGCGCTGCAGGCGACTGATGCTAATTTAGATTTTGCGTAGCCGATTTCCACAATTTGCGGAAATGGGGAAAGCGTAGCTCACAGTAGCAATAAACGTGAAGAAGCGCCACCGCACGATACAGAAAAAATGAAGGCGCGTTTCGCCATTGTGCAACATAACAGCACGTTTTTAACACTGCCATTGCCTGCCGGCCAAATGACAGGTGGGTGGCGTGTGTTCGCTAGTAACTCCACTCGGCACTTAACTTTGGATGCTTACATAGCTCTTTGACGCTTAACGATTACCGGCTGCGGCAGCTTTATTTTTACACTGCGATTGTGAAATGCTCCGCCAGAAGGAGCGGGCAGTGTGGGACATTATATGCTTGGAGAATTTAGAATATTTAAATATTTTAAGCTATAAATTCTCAGGACAAGTTCTATAGAAAATGTTTTATAGAAAAATTATACCAACAGTGCGGCGCGTATGCAGGGTGCAAAACAATTTAATATCAAACACGAAATAATACACTACAAATGCACGGAATAGAGTCGGTGTGTGTTGGATTATATAGGGTGGCAACGCTTGAAGCGAGTAAGATGGTGTAGATATACGTTCACCTATTTGCAAAGGAAAAAAAACTGCGAAGACAAATGCTGTTGTAATATTTGCATTTTAGATAAAATACTCGTCTATCATTTTGTAGATATTGAATTTGTCGAGGGTGGCTGACTAGGCTGTTGCCCGACGCTGCCTGCCGCGTTGCCCGCCGTTGCTAAAGACAAACAAGGGTCAGGGGCGAATGCTTTCCCACAAGCGACTACTTTATGCGCTAATGCTAGAGTTGTATACTTTAATAGATTAATTTCACTTGTGCGCTTATGGCCTGACTTGAAGGATGAGTAAAGATACTTGACTCTGTTGGGCTGTTGAGTTACTCGGAACTGTTTGGGCTGGGAGTTTGTTTGGGTTGCTGGGGTATATTACAATGAGAAAGATAACTAGCTGTGGGCATGAGGACTCGCTGATGATGACTTTGTGTAGACATCGTGGCACTTGTGGCAATTAAATGAATTTGTTTACTCATAAGAAATGTTGCCCTGCCTGCAGGATTTCTGTATGAAAAATGGCTTCGCCGTTGAGGTTTTAAAATAAAATTAAATTGTCAAATTTTCAATTATTAATTGTGTTAAATAATCAGGGTTTGATAAAGTGTAGTTTTGAGTTATTGCATGGTAAATGCTATGTAATGAAATGAAAAACAAATGCAAGATAGCGGTTTTCCACAACAAAATACACAGAATTAATTTTTCTTGGAAATTTCTTTCAAAAATATACTTATGTTAGAGTATAAGTTACCTTGAGATCAACCGCTCTAAAACTAAAAAGAATTAAATTGGATGAAACGTAAACTATAAACATAAAAGTATTTGAATTGGTCAACTACTTTATGACCGATTCCTTAAGGTTCGATCAAACTGTAACGGATTGCGAAAGAAAATTAGTGTTCAAACGTCTATGTGTACCAAACTCAAGCTTCAAAACATTGGGTCATCACAGGGATTACTCGATGAGCTTTAAGTTTTTTTTTAAATAAGCCATATTAAAATACAAATGAGATATTAAATCATATGAGTACATGTGAGTACAAATTTGCGGAAATTATGTTTTATATGTCAGTTCCTATCCAACAAATAACCACTACTCCAGACAAACACACAGAGTACTAACTTACAATTGACATTGAATTATTTTAATGATAAATATATAATGGAAAATATTCGTAAAATTTCAAATCTCGTACCGAACTCCTCAAACTCTATTACTTGTCCTATGTAAGTGGAGCACTATCGGTTTATAGTCTATGCAATAATCAGAAAACGGAAAACGTTAAGCAGTTTATCGCAATCTCTTCAATTTTAAAGGAAATAAGATACAAGTATTTTGGGAAAATGACCTTAAGCCAAACGAAATTGCACTGTGTCCTTAATGGAATGGGGTGACTAAATTTCTGCATGTACTTTAACCAAGCCTTAAAATATGAATAACAAAATATAGATGAGGTCTTTTAACTGCACTTATGTAAGTATAACAACAATAGTTACTAATTCTAATATCTAATTCTAATATCTGCAAGATTAGAAGGATACAACGAGTAGGCAATTGCTAAGTTAAGCTGACGACATCAGGTCATAGCTTTAAGTAGATATTGTATACAGTCTGGATAATTATTGTATGTTTTTAAAATATTAAATAAATAATAAAATATGAAATTTTGAAGGATTCTGAAGGACAAATTGAATTTGGGTCAAAATACTGTCCAAAGATTACTTTAAGCTGTGAGTAGCTCGCCTTATAAATTAATTGGAAGGTTATTTGTCTTGCGTTAATTTTTTTTGCTTTCCATCATATCCGCTTATATCGAAAATGACTCACCATCTAAGAAATTATCTCAATAAAATATATATTAAATATAATTTATTAATAACAATATATACTTACTTACTGTTATGGACCTAATGGACGTTTAAGTAATATTCTTGTGGAAACAAGATATTTTACTATCACAAAGCCGCGGGCATTGACTACGTACATTTCACATTAAATTAAAAATGGAAAAATCTATGTCACTCGGTTTTATAAAATTATTATTATATTATATTAAATGTGAAATTATGTCAATCGTTCACTTTTTCTTTCGTAACGAAAAACCTTTGGTTTTTCTTTTCATGTCCTGAAATCGAAAACGATTCCGAAAGAAAACTTGGCAGCTTATTAAATATTTTCACCTTTACTCACTCGTATGTATCTTTTTTGCTGTTTTGTTGTGAATTTCAACAACTGCTTTTTCTTTTAAACGCATTAGATTCACTCACACGCCACGAACAACTTGTGCTCCTTGTAAGGACAAAAGGATTCTCATACTGAGCACACTTCTCCACTTACGCAAGTGGCACACAAATCACCTTGCCATCGTGTGCCAGTCTCAGGAAAATGGAACCAAACGACAACAATGACAACAACAACAACAACAACAACAACAACAACAACAACAACAACAACAATGAAGCTTTTTATAGGTAATCATTAAAAACTCATACGTTCAACTAAAAGCGAAATTAGTCGAATTGACATATAAAATTACGTTCATTGAAAATCAATAATATTGATGTCCTGATAATTTCCTTTTTTATTTATATCATTTTAGTCCCTTTCATTGCTCTACTATTTTGCTCAACTCACAACCCCAACTCCAACTCCAACCCTCAACTCTCAACCCCCTGCCACACACTCGCTTAACTAAGTAATTTTCCAACAATTTTATTCATTTTCGTTAATGTTCTTTTCGAATTTTGTGTCATTTACGAATACAATTTTATTCGACTTTGACGGTAAAATTTTACCAGACAATCAATGTGAAATTGGGAGGAAAACTTTCATAATTTCGAGGTGCTTAATTGACATGCATTATGACAGCGCAATGAGGCGTGAGGACACCGAAACCGAAACCGAAACTGAAACCGAGACTAAAACTAAAACTGAAACTGAGATGAAGATGAAGATGGAAATGTAGAGACAATAAAGAATGAACGATGAATGATGATTTCAAATTCATCGAATAATTTAATCGAAGTACTTAGTAAGTACTAACTGAATAATTAGTGTAGATACTCTTCCATTAGATCAAAGCAAATTATTTGGGAGTAGTGAAAAATGAGAGTTCTTTAAAATCCAAAGAAGATGAATGAACACTTCTTTTAACTATTTAAATGAAAGAAATTGGTATTGCTTTCAATAGATACATATATAAACGTGTGCAAATATGTTTCATGTGAGAGTAAAAGAGAATTACTTTCATCATACTTAAATCTCAAGACCAGAAATATTGTTTTCCCTTTTGAATGCACCTAAGAGAATTACATAACTTTTCCTAAGCCAGGTTGCACTTTTAGCATAGAGTATATTTCTTTTTCGGTACTTTTATTCTGCGAGCACCCATTACACTTCTTAGGTTACAAAGAAATGTGGAAATTTTCAACAATATCCATAAAGATTATTTTATAACTTTATTCTGTACATGGGCAGTCCCAAACCAAGAAGATAACTGGAGAAGTCTACTGATAACTGGAGATTATATCAATTCAATGAACTGTGTAAATCATAAGTAGTTGATTTAAAAAGAAATATTAGAGCAGAGATACCAGCCAGAACATGCTCGACTTAAGACGGAAGAAAGACTATATTAGAACTACCTACTGGGTGTTACATTGTCTATAGGATGTGACGTTCTTTTATTTCGGTGATTACATAGGGTTCAGTACAATCTTTAAGCACAAGCATATATCTGAGTGAAAAGAAACTTAGTAGCATTTTTTAGTCAGATTAATTATTTAAAATTTATTCCTTGAAAGTACCTAATTGAAACAAAACTCTTCATAAACTCGTGTTTGGGAATATGGAGATCTCTAATGTTGTCACATTGCACATTGCTATGTACTCTGGCGCTGTCGATACGGACATCGACAACGTTGGTGTTTCAACACAACATAAAAAACATAATAATACACATACACTTATAAGAGAATCTAGAAAGTTTTTTCTCAGAATCGAAAGGATGCCAATTGCCTCAGTACATTTCCGACCCTTTTAAATGTGCAAAATGCAAAACAGACCTTGGTGTCGCAACTGTTGGAGGAAGTTGCAGTTGCAAATTCAAAAATGAAACCATTTCTCAAAAAATTAATATGAAAACAGAAAAATCGCTTACCTATTGAAGTGTCCTATCAACTGGCTCCTAGGATTGGCAACTGTAGTTATGGAATTCACGTTGGAATTAAGCTGCTGCTGGGATGCTGCTGCTGCTGCTGTATTTATCACTGGTGATGTTGTGAACGATGTTGTTGGCGGTATTGTTGGTGATGTTGTTGGTGATGTTGATAAAGTAGCCGCAACAGCTGTTTTTGGCAAAGTTAATAATCCGCTTGTTGCAATTGTTGTTGATGCAACAGCAGTAGTAATCGGAATTATTGCGGTTGACAACGGCTGCGGCAATGGCAATGGCAATGGCAATGGCAACGGCAACGGCAATGGCAATGATAACGATAATTGCAATGGAGTTGCTGCTATCGTTGTCGGCGTTGTAACGGAATTAATATGATTTGGCAAAAGAGATGGTAAAAAATTTGTTGACAGCCCAGAACCGGCAGCAATTGCACCTGTTGTTATTGCCGCTGATGCAGGCGGTGCAGCAGTTGATAGTGCTGTAGTGACTGTTGTTGATGATGGTGGACGTAAATATGGATGATAATTTTTCACTGCTGAGGTAGTACTTGTTGTTGTTGTCGCAATTGTAGTCACTAATGTTTTTGTTGCAGCGAGTGCTGTTGTTGCCGACAAAATTGCTGTTGTTTCTAAATACTTGGTATGAAAATGCTGCTGTTGCTGTTGTAGTTGCTGTAAATTATTCAAATTATTTTTATCCGCAACAGAGCTGTTGTTAGTTAAATTGCTATTATTGTTGATATGGCTACGGTTGATGCTGTTAATACTATTAGTATTATTAATGATGCTATTATTGCTGTTGCTGCTGCTGCTGCTGTTGCTGTTGCTATTGTTGTTGGCTATATTATGAAAGCTACCATTTCCAATAAAATTTGCATTTGGATTTGTATTAGCAACAGCAACAGGTGTTGGAAATAAAATTGGATTGCCGCTCGTTGCTGCTGTTGCGGTTGCGGCTGCTACAGCTGCTGCTGCTACTGCGGTGTTGGTTGGTGGGGGTGTGGATGTGGGTGTTGCTGTTGCTGTTGCTGCTGCTGTTATACCAGTTAGTTTATCAGCGCGCAACTTCAAGGATTGCAACATCATTTATTATAATTTCCGCAATTGTTTATAATGTTTTTCCCTCGTCCTTTGGGGTGTACTCCAAATGCAGCAATTAAGCTGCAACTGTTGCTACTACTTTTAACTTGATTGTTGTTATGGCAGCAATTGTATTTATATTGTTTTTTTTTCTTTTACTCCTTTATTAAACTTAGTGCTTATTCACAGTTGTTTTGTTTGCTCCTTCCGGTGTCCTTACTCACTGTAGCATATTTTCATCAGGTATTCTGTGGACAAAGCTCTTGCTTTACTTTTTGGTTTATTTTTTAAAGATGAGCCACTTTATGCTTCAAATGCTGTGAGCAATAAGCGGATTAATTATTCCAAAACTTTTTATACTTTTAGCGAAATCTTGATATTTCTATAGTTAATTATTTTTCACTTTACCGCTGAGTTGCACGAGTTTAAGACACGAAGCGTGATTTTTAACTGAAATATACAAAAAAAAGAATTATTTATTTAAAAGTATTTTCGACTTATTAATGTAAACATAAAAAAGTTTTCAGTTATTCCAGAGATAATAATCAGAGATAATGAATTAGTTATGAAATAAATACTAGCCAAGTCCACAAAGCATTTTTCTAAAAGTACCATATAATATAAGTATCGAACTGCCTTTCCACCTAGGTACAGTCTGCAAGTATCATGGGATCTATGTCCATAGTATGATCACTGAATATTTGTTATAAATATTAAAAGCACAAACCTTCTTCAGGAGTTAATTTCAAAAGCTTCTACTACAAAACAGCAATGAAGCAAAGATTTTAAATGACTAAGAGGCTAATGCAAAAGTAAATTAGTTAATCTACAGATGAAACTGTCGGATAAACACACAGCTGAAAACATTACTGGACTGGTTTTAAAAAAATTGATCTTCAAGGACATCGTCGCCATGGTCCTCTTGTCACATTATGAGGAATTAGTCTGAAGATATTTTAAACGCTAAGCTTATCTAGAAAAATCATTCTCTGACAGGGCAACCATATTAGTTGAGAAGACTAAAAAACAGTAATGAAGTGTCTTCAAAAAGCCCAAAAAAAAGTTAAAGTTCAGTACCGAGAATCAGCCTGGCAGGCGAGTCTTTAAAGTAGTCCAGCTGTTTATGTAGACTATAAATAATATAGTCCAAATTAATACCAAAGACTATTTTTGATATAGTTCCCGAATAATTACTTTTATTATTTTTCTTTTTGTGTGCTATGGGCAGTATTAGCTAAAATTGGGACTGGGTTAGTTTACTATGTTAGAAGACGTATGCAATAAGGCTCCTGAAGCGAAAAAAATCGAAAATGGCAATTTAGGAGATTATTGATAACACTACAGTCTCCTTAAGCCTCATAGGTGCGCGTTTTAGCACCATTGGTATAAAGTGCAGCAGTCCTCTCGTCGCATTATATTAGTAGACGCTAGTGGACAAGCAATAATAGCATATAAAGCACCAGGTAGCACTACGATATGGCGACTCAAATGGATGTTGAAATGGTGCCAAAGATGTAACCTAAAACAATCTAAGAAGTGAGTTCAGCTTTTGGATACCCTCACTTCGGAACTTCAGGTATTGTAAAAGTAGAAATGGAGAAAACAAAAACGCATAAAGTTAAGCCAGATAAAGCTGTTTCAATGTATTACCAGAAAGGCAAAAGAGGCATGGAAGTGATAACACCACTAAGGAGTTGACGAAAAAAACTTGGTATCTTAGCATTGGTATCTTTTAAAATTCGAACAATATCTGCGAGTAAAAGTTATGCAAAAGTATCTTTATCAATCGCCGAGGCAGGTGTATTTCAAAAGCATTTCAGTGAAGTTATTCTATCTGCATTTAAAGAAATTCAATAACAATAAAATTGCCGTAAATATTTATCAATTATACATCCAACCGTTCCACTCATTTATCAGATATGCGGTAATACAAATAATTACATTAAGTTATTGAATATGAAAAGTTAATAAATTGAAATGCATGCCGATTAAACTAAATGCCGCACTTAATAACAACAAAAAATAAATGCATTTGTTTACATTTGCACTGCGAATTGTACCGCAAACACTTAATGGAAACATCTATGCATTACGATACGAGTGCCATTAACATATTACCGGATGGAGGGGCAACGTGCGAATGCGATTGCTGTGCGGCGAGTGGGTGGTGGATTTCTAGTATACGCCGTTCCTGTGCTAGATATTAACTAATTTGTTGAATTGAAATCGCATTATGTATTTGTTGTTGTACCTAAAATACCGCAGGCGCAACTTAATTATTGGTCAGATACATTAACATCGTCCTTAATTATAGATGCGAGCAATAATTGAAGTGTGAGTGCGTACATGCGTAGGTGTGTCTGTTGGATCGCTGCATATATTTCAACGCTTCATTGCCCACAAATTCATTAGAACATGCTTATAAGTAGGACATTTAAGGATGGCTTTATTTCAGTATTCAGACATATTTGCTTTTATTATACAGTAAACATTTTTTTGTTGATATAACAATAATAAAATTTGATTGGAAATATATAGAAGTTTAATATCCTACATTTTCTTATTCTTTAAAAGTTTACTAAAATCTACAGTTTCATTTATATAACAGCCTATTCACATGGCTAAAGTTAATCTATATAGCGAAATCTAATTAAAATCGATATTCACGTTCACCTACCAATAACTTTTTCTTATATAAACAGAAATAGAAACGATATTGAAGAATAGAGCTCGAAAGAGATTCTTTCTATAACCGGCTTTTACAAATCGGTTGGAATACAATAATAACTTTACTACTTATATTATACAGACAGAATTTCATTGTCACATTAAAATTGAAATTATTATTGTAAATTAAATTAAATGTGAATTAAAAAATTGGGAATGAGAGAAAGAGAGAAATATCGATTGGTCAAAACATGACCAGTAATAAATAACAGAATTTGTATCTATTAAGAGCAAATGTAATACTCGTATACAAAAAATACGCACAAAAAACGTTCCAAAATACTAGTGAAAGCAGGAAATTGACAAATGTTTTATAACTCTCTCTTTCTCTCAAGACCAAACAGGGGGCAAAATTGCGCTGACCATATGAATGTCTGTATAACATGTCCCTAAGTGCATGTATTTTTAGACTAACAAACACCTCGATTTATAATTGTAATAATAACTAATACGAATTTCGGAATGTCGTTTAATCGATGTCAAGTCTAGTAATTCGATGCTATTCTTGTTTTAATTTACTTCTGGAGGTGGCGTCTTAGTTAGACAAACTAAGGCACTGAAGGGAAGGAAAGGAAAAGGTTCGTTTTCAAATTTTATTGCTTTGAAGGATTTTAAAAGAAACTTGGTCAAAAAACCATATAAGACAGTGTATCTCGCGAAGAAGGTTAACCCATGTAGTTCTATATTAGTGCATTTAAGTAGATAAAACATCCTTAAACTCTATATCTTGTATGGTTTTCTTTCATAATAACATAAGTACGGAAATTACGGCACTTCAAATTTCTTTTCGTTCGTTAATTTATGGACGAAAAATTATTATCTTTTATCAATACCCTATTATCTTAGAAGCATTTTTGCTCAGAAACCGTACTAGACATATTCGTCCTATGAATCTACAAATTATAATGTGTGAAATATTTTTTCAAAAACAATTGTAAAACCTCACAACATTATTTCAACAAAATATATATTAAAATTTAATATTTAATATAAACTCAGCAAGTGAATTTGCTAATAAAACTTTCATAGCAAATTAACAAAAACTCCAGAGAAATGTGTGAACATGCAAGTCAAATATGGCTTTGGGTCAGTTGGTAAGAAGCACCAACTCTGAGCTTCAAATTTGACAGGGCACGAGTTCGATTCCTGGTACTTGCAGTCTCAAAACAATTATTTATGAATAATTGAATACAAGAATTATTTCCAAGACCACTGATGATGGGTATTTGGCAATATTCGAAACAGCTGTATGATCAGCCAAAAATTTAATTAATTAAAATAATATAAAATGAATTTTTGTTGTTGTAGTTTACTACTGTTCGAAAAACTTCTTTATTAAAATTAAAACAAAAAAAAAAGTTGAAGAAAAAATTATAGTCAGGACCTATAATATTTTAAATAACAAATAATACCCAAATACCTCATAATTGTTTAATTAAATTTAATTTATTTAATATTAAATTAATATTAATATTTAATATTAAGCGTAAATTTTATTTATTTATTTTATGTATTAATTTTTTTAATATGTATATGATTAAGTAATCCTGTTATTAATTAAAAAAATGTTTTCTTTAATTATTCAATTTAAAGATCTTTGGTATTCCAATCTCACTTTTTTAGAGCAACTATGGAACTATGGATGTTAGTCCTTTATTGGACATATGATATTTCAATACTAGATACGCACGTATAGTATTTTTATTAGTTGTAATCGAATTTTTTTATATCACAAATAGAATTTTTTTAAATATTTAAATATATTTTTGAATTTTAATAATTTCATATATAATAAATATCTTTAGAATTTTCACACGACAAATTTTTATTTGAGTCAATCTTTTGCCAATCAGAATGTCTTACTGCCGAAGCGTTGCGCGTTTTACTATAAATTAAAATTGCTCCTGTTGCACTTTATTAAAAAATAAACTCAACGAGCAGAGCAGAGCAGAGCAAATCGAATAGAACAAATAAGCTTACTATCCCCCGCCCCTACACACATGCATACGCACTCATGTTATATGCTGGTCCATACACTGGCTACTGCTAGTGCTGTTGCCGTAGTCGTCGTTGCTGCTGCAGCTGCAGCTTTTGCTCGGTTTAGAAGAACTTTTTTATTTTTTATGTTTAACCAACTTCCACGTCAATGCTTGCGTTACTCTACTTCTAGAGGCAGCAGCATCACTGCCTGACACTGAATATAGCCAATGAATAATGCCATTTTTGTTGCTTTTGTCCTTTTACTTATTCTCTATTGCATTATTCCTTTCTTTCTTTCTTCTTACAATGCTTATTATTATTATTAGTTTTTGTTGTTTTTGTTTTTTTTGTTTTGTTTTTAGTTGTCGTTATTATTGTTGTTGCTTCTGGGGGCACACTTTGTTATTGTTGTAATTTCTTACATCACATTTTTTTTTGTTTTCTGATAGTTGCTATAGTTTCGCATTATGTTGTTGTTGTTGTTGCTGCTGCTGTTCTTGTTATTGAGATTTAATATTGAGTGTGACGCTGTTCATTATGTTCGTTGCTGAGCGCACGTAATTTTATTTAACTTGCTTAAAGCGTTTCTATAATGCAAAATATGATACAAGCTAACACTGCCGCTACTGCCACTACTGCTGCTGCTGCTGCTGCTTATGTCGCAGCTGCTGGACTCTTGTTGATATGAAAAACTTGCTCTCTTTGTTGTGTTTATTATTATTTTAATAACTGTTTAT